GGGGCCCATTAGGCTATTCTGGGTAACCCCGGTGAACGCTTCCCATGTCCCTGGAGACCTGACCGGCTTCCCCAAATCCGCTTTAAAGTCTAACGTTCAAGATCGATCGCATACTCGGGTCACAGTGACCCCAGTCCCCAAACGAACCTCCCCTACCTTTAGCTTTTTGACATGACTTGGTCGATGACTAATCGTTGGCCTACCCCAGTTACGTCATCGCTGTCTCTACTTGGGCGCGGTCGTCGGGCTTTAGTGCCGTCATGCCCGCTTCTTTGTGCCACGGACCCCACGCCCGAAAAGCCACGAACTACAAGCTTCCACCTGTCCGCTCTCCCTGTTCATATATATTATCAATTATCTACCTATCTCTTAGCTATCCTCTCTGCTATGCTGCGTCGTGTGCTCGTCATGTATTTTCGTAGCCTTCGTCGCCCCCTCTCTACTCTAGCACGTGTCGGTATTCGGTCTATGTTCTTCATCTTTTCTCTCATACCCTCATGTATCTCTCTACCTATCGGCGTCTATATGCGCAGATAAGCAGGGGACACACATATATCTGTGTATACGTGGGCGCTTTTTTCTAGCCACCCTCCTTCCTGGACCTTGCTCGTTCAACCCCACGAGCGTGCATAAAGTCAGTTCTTCGTCGCGGAGTTCCCAGGGGGGCGCCCCTCGGCACCCCGCCCAAAAAGAACAAACCTTTATTTAGACAACCCGGGGTTCGGTTTTATAAAAAAAAAAAAATAGAGTTATATCGGGGGGGGGATTTTTTTGGGGGGGGGGGGGTTTTCTAAAAAAAGGGGGCCCCTCTTGTTTTTTTTTAGATATTCCCCCGGGGGGGCCCCCCCTTTGGGGCCCCGGGGGGGGGGGGGGGGGGGGGGGGGGGATGGGCGTCTTGTCGTTCAAATCCCGTCACTCAAACACCGAAAGAGATGAGCGTACGACGTGAAGGGCCTCGGTGTATGCTGTCATCGGCGCCAGAGCCGGGGGGAAAGGAGCTGTTAAGTTTGGGGGTCGAGGGAGACGGTCTGGGGGAACACATGGGGGCAATGAAGCATGAAGGCAAAGAGCGGCAGGGGGGTCGCGATTTTGTGCCGCTCTTCGCGTGGCACCGCCGCTTGCGCCATGCGATTTAAAGGTCTGATGTGGAGACGATGAACCCTGACGATAACAAGGGTCGTTCGATATCAATGCCCTCTCACTTGCGGGATTGGGACTCCTGGCGCGCTTCTCCTCGGCGGATGCCATCTTAGCGTCTATGGCGACATGGCCGCGAAACCACAACGAACACACTCCCAAGAGTCGCCAAAAGGCACAAGAGGCACCAGACATGGGGGCGCTGCGAGACGGCAGATGGCGCACCACATGCCGGCGAACGTCACTAAAGCCATTGCGCCATCGCTTTTCAAATCCCAGTTGTCTGGGCTGCGGCCTCTGACGTTGGGATAACGAACTGACACCTATGGTGATTCGCTGGGACTCTTGATGCTGAGGTTCGTCGACCATTTCGGCCTTTGAATATCGAGCTGAAGTCTTTGGGGGGGACAGTGTCGAAGGATTATATCTTGTTCGAGATGCCGATGCCTGCTGATCGTGAAGCTGGCTGATCTCCACGACCGTACCATTGTCTGCCCAGAGTCTTTTGGTCTTGAGATCCCGATTCGCCTGACTTGAACACCGAAAGACTGGGCATTGCCAAGGAGTCCTCTCGTTGCTGACGAAGAGGGATAAGGCAGACAAAGGAATCATGGAAACTTCCAAACAACTGCCTAGGAGAAACGGAGAGAAGGGGGTTGACAGCGAGCCTCAGACGGACCAAAACTCCATCGAATCGGCTGATGTGCAGGAATGGAGCCACCAGGAGGAGCTCAAGGCGAGGAGAAAGTAAGCCGCTCTACACGTCTCGATCCAGCCCCTCGGTCAACTCGACTAACAGCATAGGGTCGACTCAACCGTCTTGCCCCTGCTCTTCCTGGGCCTCCTCGTCTTCCAGCTTGACCGCATGAACCTTGCCAGTGCTCTGACTGATGGCTTCGCCGTCGACATTGCCGTCACGCAAGAAACCATCAACCTCGGAAACCAGCTCATGTTCATGGGTATCGTCGTCCTCGAGATCCCCTCCAACATGCTCCTCCAGAAGCTGGGCCCTCGCCGCTGGATCTCCGCCCAGGTCTTCATCTTTGGCCTCGTCGCCACGATGCAGTTCCTCCTCGTCAACCGCACCGGCTTCCTCGTCGCCCGTCTCATCCTCGGGTTCTCTGAAGCCGGCTACATTCCCGGCGCCGTCTACACCCTGTCCATGTGGTATCCGAAGCGCGAGCTAGCCAAGCGCGTCGCTATCTTCTTCTTTGGCATGTTCGGCGGCAACGCCCTGAGTCCTGTGCTCGCCTCGGGCATCCTCCAGCTCGGCGGCAGAGCTGGCCTCAAAGGCTGGCAGTGGCTGTTTCTTCGTGAGTCTCCTTTCTGTGCCCCTTTCCTGTTGACGTTTGCCTCTCGCTCGCTTCTCAACATCAGTGCTTCCCACTAACAAGACACCCCAGTCGAGGGTCTCTTCACCATCTGCGTCTCCGGCCTCCTCTTCCTCACGCTGCCAGGCTCCCCCGACGAGCCGCGGCCGCTGCTGTCGCCCGGCCTGATCCGCTTCACGCCGCACGAGCAGCGCATCCTGCGCGCGCGCATCGAGCACGACGACGCGCACCGCAAGGGGGGCGCCCAAGGGCTCGCCATCCCCTGGCGCCTCGTCTGGCGCACCGTCTCGCACTGGCGCCGCTGGCCGCACTACGTCTCGACCTTTGCCGTCTTCTCGACCTGGTCGCCCCTGACGACCTACACGCCCTCCATCATCATGGCCCTCGGCTTCGGCCGCATCGAGGCCAACGCCCTCGCCGCCGTCGGCGCCTCGCTCGCCCTCGTCGTCGTCTTTGCCTTTGCCTACCTCAGCGACCGCACCGGCCGGCGCGGCCTCTCCGTCATCACGGCCCACGTGTGCTACCTCGTTGCCCTCGTCGTCGCGCGCACCGTGCACCCCCATGTCGGCAGGTGGTCGAGGTGGGGGCTCTGGACGGCCGTCAACAGCTTCGCCGTCGGCTACCATCCCGTCCACAACTCGTGGGTGCAGCTCAACTGTCGAGAGCCGGGCGAGAGGAGCATTGCCATTGCGTAAGTGTCCTCCCTATTCTCGTTCCTCTCCAAGTCTCAAAAAGACGAGAAACAAGGGGCCACGATAGCTGACCGAAGCAGCATGTGGGTCATGGCTGCCATTAGCGGGCTGATGGTCGGCACGCAGTATTTCAAGGGCAGCGACAAGCCATTGTAAGTGTACCACCCTGCGTGAAGCGCTGTCGTGGCGAACTGATGCTGACGTCTCGATAGCTACAGCACCGGTCTGCGGACCATGATCATCATGGTGTCGGGGGGCATGGTTTTCGCCGTCATCCAGGACGTTTTTTACGTTGTGCATAACCCCCGTGTGCGGTCCGGGAAGCACAAGACGAAGGATGGTTCGGAGCCGTACATTTTTTTTCCTTGAACTGAAGGGAAGGGGGGGGGGGGGGGGGTACTTCTTTTGGTGGGGGGAATACCATATGGATAGATAGCCTTGGAAATCTAGAGTATTGATTTCGATCAGAATTCACTCGTGAACGCTTGTTTTGCGGAGGCTACTACCTGGACATTCAACCGGCATCGGCCAGAGATGTCGCTGATGACCCCCGCGGATTGACACGTCGGTTCAGAGCGTCTCTTTCGTCGACATTTCTCAAAGCGTGAGGCCTCTCCAGTCTTGGGCCAGCAGAAGACACTACTGCCTTGCACGATGCTTAGACACGCTTGTTCACTAAACAATCGGAGACGATATCACTCTACTAACCAATATGCCCTGCCAATGCCTTTTTGGAGGGCATGTATTAAAGTCAAGGAGGTTCAGTTGGACTGGTCGCTCGAACTACCCCTTTTCACCAATACGTCCGACCAGCGGTCAAACAGGCAAAGCACAGTTGGCTCATGACAGGAGCGTTCAAACAATGATAAATTATGTACTTGATTCAAGATATTGAGTCGTCTTCAAGGCCCCTAATCATTACCTGCCGTCCATAACAGAACTGACTGCTAACAGAACTGACTGCCGACAACGCAAAATCTAGTGCGTGTGGTGACCGCTCGAGCTAGTCCCAAACTCGCGCTTCGTCACCCAGCTCGTGCCGTTGGCGCGCAGGAGCTTGGTCACCTCGTCCATGTCCACGCCAAGCACCCTCTCGGCGATACGCGGCAGCTCCGTGTTGTCCCAGTGGCCGGCCAGCTCGCCCTTGAACGCCTCAGCCTTGTCACCTGCGGCATATCCAAACAGCGTCACATCTGACGCCGTGTGGCCGCCCGTCGACCAGTTGACACCGGCGCGGGATCTGAGCAGAGAGACGAGTGCGCTGCCCAGGTTCGACGCTGCGAGCAGGCTCGTGATCTCGGCGCTGCTGGCGTCGGCGAGGCCGTACTCGGGAAGAATCTCGGACACGAGGTACTCGCGACGGTCGGCACCCGAGGGGCGAGCGCTCCAGAGGCGCTCAACACCCTCGCGCGAGCGCCTAGCCTTCTGCAGGGGTAGAGGGTTGAAACCGTTGAGCGTCAGTCCGCCGCACTCGTGGTCGGCGGCGGACATGAGAACCGTGTCGTCGTGCTCGTCGATCCACTCACGGACAAAGCCCATGACATCGTTATACATGATGGTCTCGTGGACGTGGGCCGCGGCATCGTTGGCGTGGCCGGCGTGATCGATACGCGAGGCCTCGATCATGATGAAGTATCCCTTCTCCTTGCAGTGGGTGGCGCGGTGGAGGGCGTTCAGAGACGTCTCGACCATCTCAAGGAGCGAAGGCTCGTCCTGGTCAATCTTGCGGTCCATCTCATACTTAAGCTGGTCTATCGTACGTCAGCGTTATGAGGACCGCCTGAACTAAAAGAATCCTTACCGTCGTTGAAGAGGCCGATAAAGGGGATCCGGATGTCACCGAGACCCTTCTTAAGCGCATCGAACTCGTCACGGTTCTGCATGACATGGTAGCCGTGGTCCTCGGCGTAGCCGAAGAGATCCTTGATATCGCGGCGGCACGACCCGGAAGCCGTGTGAA